TTTGGCCATGGCTAGCTACTGGGTATTGCGTAGTTCTTTTTGAGATAGATTGGCCAGTTTTATTCCCATACCTTCAAACTGCTATTCAGCAATAGCACTGGTATTTCCCATCTGTGAATCCTTCAAGTTGTGAATCCTTAATTTCCAGTTCCGTAGCCTTCAGGGGTTTTTAAGCACTTCTCTTGTGCAAGGGATTTTTCCCCCTCAATTTGAGTCAGCCAGCAGCTGCGGTATACCTACGCAGTGGGTGCAATGCCTCTGGTTTTCTGTTTCTCGTACGCTTTCTCTCCTACTTGCGATGTCTTTCCTGAGGTCATGTGGGGCAGGCTCGGTGGGCAGGTACAAATTGGTCTCATCAGCCAGTCTCAGGTATCTGCTTATATTTTGGCAATGTAAATTCAAAGCAAGATCTATTTTTTCTTACCTTTCTCAATTTATACCATAATGAGTCTGCTTATTCAACTGCTGAAAATCAGCCTGCATGTGCATGTGCTGACCTTGGACAGTCAGAATGTATATGCTCCTCCAAAATACCATTCTGTGAACTAACCTCGCACTTAGTCTTCTCCACATATATCCCAAGAGAAAGGGGGTGACGTGACGTTCTGTGAATTGGATCTTAACAGTGCGTACTGTACGCCATTCCCAATTATAAGCCAGTATTTATCGGTTTTATAATTGAGATGAGATTCACTTACATTTTCTTGATTGGCATATAGTTGGTTTTGACAAAATAATTGAGAGCAAATACACCCCAAACCACCGTGCTAATTATTGAACAGCCTCATCTCTCTCAAGCAAGGGAAACAGAGTACATAATTTGAGTGGCGGAAGGGGAAATATGTCGGTTGAAAAATATGTTTTTATGAGCTGATACTGGATCTGACAATACAGATGTAGGCAAGAATGAAAGGAATCCCACTTCAGTTTTAAAAAAGGTATCTTTTCACAGAGAACATGTCTCTTCTGGGAACCTTTAATTTAATGTACATTGGTTTCCTATTTTAAGAAAACAATTTGCTGTTAAACACTATGCCAGCCAGACTTTCATTTTGTAAGCAAAAACTCTTTGTCCTGAAGTATTTTAACAGCCTAAAGAGCAGGAAATTGCCTGTGACATTTCGGTTTTTCCATTCTAAGGGAAAAATGGTCCAAGATCTAAAAATAGCTCTCTCCTGAAAAACACCCTCCCTCTCATCATTGTAATATACCATAAGCCATGTGACAACAAAGACATTTCTTTCTGAGCCTAGAGTTGTTTTTAATCAGCTAAATAGGCAATTAAGTCTTCATGTAAAACTGCTGACTTAAATAAAAATTTTGTTTCCTGACTTAACTCGACTAATTTGATGACCTACTCTGCGGTACAATGTCTCCCGTTCCTCCCTCTTCCTTTACCTGAACACAAATGATGTTGGTCAGAATTGCATATTCACTCAGGGAAAAAAATCTCAGTAGAATTTGTGCTTTCAGCCTGCTTTACTATAAGGCAGTTTTCAGCTCCATCCACTAGTTGAGCATCCATCTTTGAGAGGAATATCGAACATATATTCATACACATTTTGGTCTGTGGCCATGAATGGACAGGCGAGGTAGACGGTACACATAAATATGGTTAACAAAATGCATCATGTGGTAGAGTGATGCCAAGGAGTATGTTATGGAGGTCAAAGATGGGTGCCTTATCATTACACCTAGATACCCGACAGAACTCAAAGGGAGCCTTGGTATTCAGATCATTCCCCCAGCAGTGAATTCAGACATGTGAGTGAATCACAAGATACTTGTTCATTGTCAACTCAGAAAAAAATATAGTGAGACTGGTTTATGTGTAGACTGAGGCGAGCATGGAGACATTCCTAGACAGGGTGGAGCCCACAAGGCAGGCAGTGCTGTCACTGGGGAGGCAGCAGGTCCCAGTTTGCACTGAAGCTGGAGATGGAGTTTCGCGATACAATCTCTTCAGTGGTGAAATTTGCTTAAGAGGTTCTTACCCCTTATCTTTCTACCTCAAGGCCCTGACCATTCACTTCATCTGCCTTACAGCTTGCTGCCTGTCCTCAACTACGCAACTACAAATGATTGTGGGGCCAGGCTATAGTGTAGGTCCCTACAGGAATCTAGGTTAAAAATAGCCTTCCAAAAAAGTTTTGCATTTTTGAGTTTTAAATTGAAATCATTTCAGCTGCCTGATTCTGCAGACAACCCTAAAAATAGCTATACAAGCACAACTGACATGGTAACAAACTGACCTACTGAAAGGTAACTTAGCTTCTCAAATTCTAAACCAAATGTGTTGTGAAAATATGCACAAAGAAACTATGTCTCCTTGCTGGCGAAGCAAAAGCACAGGAGCTTTACTTTCCTCCAATACCAAAATCTTAATGAATGCAAACATTCACTAAAATTTAATGAATCACGCAGCCTTGAGGGATCAAGGTTAGACAAGCTCATTCCCATTGAAATCAATGGAAGCTTTGCCTCTCCCTTGTTATGAGCTAAGATTTTTCTCTTTCTCCTATCTTTTCTTCAGGGAAGGACTGGGAGTTTTAATATAGCCTGGTATTTGACCATAGACTATGTTTTATCATATATCAACATATCATCCAGACCATGTGACTGTCGATAGACTCCTGTATTAGAGACCTAAGTAGGACAGTGGGAGAGGATGCCAAGAGCTCCATCTAGATCACCCCTCTGTCCTGAGATAGGCTCACTCATACCTACAGGTTTCATGGCACTGTTTGCCTAAACTTATTTTTGATAAAATGTTATTTTAAAAGCCCTCACATCTCCTTAGGTAATCCATTGCAGTGTTCAGCTGGGGAATTTCCTCACATCTAGCCTACGTTTGACACACCGCCAGTGTTTCATAGCCACATATCGGGACAGATGAACATAATCCCCGGTGGAAATGGCTGTGGCAGCAACGCCAAAACTCACCATGTGTCTGATGTTCGTTCCTTTTTCTTTTAGCCAAGAAGAATAAATGTAAATTGAACCCAATCATTTAGTGAATAGAGCTAACAAATACATTTTGGGTTATTGACATTTATGTGCATACATGAACTGAAAAAAGTGGAAGAATCAGTCATTTTCTGTTAAAGTTCAAATTCCTTGCCAGGGAATATTGGTGGTTTATTAGCTCGCGGAAATGCTGGCATAAACACATGGATAGATCTCTTTTTCCTTGTAAGTACAATAAGATAAAATCTAATATTATTGTAGGCCCTGTGGGAAGAGATAAATGTGGAAGTCAATAGAACTGTTAAAAATGAAACCTACGAACATTGTGAAGGATGTATTGTAGAAATCAAACCAGAAACAATATACAATAAACAAGCTATTAAATCACTTGCCTTCATTGAAACACCACTTGAAAGTGCTTTACAGCATTGTAAACAGTCAAAAGATAAATCCTTGCAGCAGATGAAAAAATTACCAATGATGAGACAAGCTGCTCTTTCAGAAGGGACTGGAAGACTGGAGAGGAAATGAAGGTGCTGTAGAGAGTCTGTATAGACAGGCAATACAGCAAAGTCCAGACCATATGGAAGATGTGGAGGAAAAACTGACTGCTAGGACAAGTTGAGGTAGCCACAAGCAACAAGACCTGGTTTGCTGGCATTTTACCTTTCCTTGTAATCTACAAGAATTACTACATTTTTGTTACATTTTCTCTTCTTCTTTCTCTGAATCCATGAGTATTTTGCAAAATGGAGCACAAATAAAAGAGTAAAACTAAATCACGTAGATTCCTGTAGCATTTCTTTAAAAGTAATGACTTTTTGAGCAACCTGTTTTCAAGAGATCATCAGTTTGTCAACACTATTTACTCATTCCTCTCGATCTCTTAATTTTTTTTCAATTGCCCTTATTGCAGTGTTTGGGACATTTCTCTTTTTTTTTTAATGTCACTGGCATATGAAATGCCACTTACATGACAGATTCATTTCACTTAACTATCCAGCTTAGGTGAAGTTTGGTTGTGTACGCCGGAGTTAGCAACTGTAGTTCTTACAGCCATTTTAGTGGGTTAAGCGAAACAGGTTTTTAGGGAGCACGTCATCTCCCAGCCATTCAAGGCACCTATTTTGGAAAAAGGCTGTCTTTGTCTCTAGATTGTCTATAAATGGAGCCTGAAGTGACCGGTCTAGGTATAGATGTCTACATCAGGTCAAATGACTCATACCCTGAAAGTTGTACTGAATATTTCCGGTTACCAAGAGCACTGATTTTGACAGCAGTTTTGTAATAACTTGTAGTCATTTCTGTCTTTTGCAATACCTTTGGATTCGGTGAAGTGGCTGATGAAGAAGCAAACACTGGCAGACTTTTTGGCTCTGCCTAAGTGAGGAACTAAGAGCGCACCTTGCCCACAGGCAAACATGTTGCAACATAAAATGCAAATAGCTTGAAAAAATAGAAGCATTAAAGACACAGCTCTTTCTATGCCCTAAAGGAAGAGGAGAAACTGGCAAGACCTTTGTAAGACAATTCAGGGAAGACTCATTTGACACAACCATGATGACAGTAATATTATTGGTATTAAAAGCCTTGACTTGTCACAAAATATACTTTGCTAGAGATGTAATTAAATAATGGACAAAATAGTTTAGTACCAACAAGGAAACAAGTTCACATTTAACACGTGTTATTTCACGTTTTTCTAACAGGACAGTTAATTCAGTCAGCTCTTTGAGCATGGTGAATCTCTTACACAGAAAATAAATTAATCAATAATGTTTGTATATACAAAAGAGGACAACTGGTAAGACTTAACCACAGTTGCTGCTCAACAGCAATTATCTCAAAGATGAATCTCTGGTTATATGTGACAACTAAGACGGTAATTCAGCTGGTTCATATAACAAAATAGTGTGGCTACTATAGTCTAAAATTAAATTCAGCAGTTCCTTGACTATAAAATCACTCGTGCTGCTATCCTTATCCCTTGACTATGCTCTTGTTCTGAAACAGCACAGGAGGGATTTATCCTGTCAGGATTTTGTGATAGTGTTTGAGGTCACTGGAAATCTGTACGAGAGAGAAAAAATCCCACTTAGGAGCAGGAGGATGACAGCTACAATCCCGATAGGAATGGCAGCACCAGCTTCCTGCGCCACTGGGCTGGAGGGCATGTAGTAAGAGGGAGGAAAAGCAATGCTCTGGTTGTGCACTACAGAATAGAAATTCCAGCTCACGGGAACCAGGACGCACAGACTAGCGGATATGTAGAAGAAGCCACCCACCAGGAAGAAACGGGTAATGAGAGTTTTGCGAGTGATTCCCATATAAACATTTCTCAGACCAAATATTGTGGCAGTCAGTCCCAGCAAGCCCACAAACATGGCGATCAACAGGAGACCCTGAGCAGCATAAATTTCGTGGGGGATGGAGGAGTCATAGCCACTGAATTTATGGCAGAACTGTTCTTTATAGCCAGGCGAGATGTGAAGGTAACTGATGAAGCAGACTTTCCAAATCCCCACCCAGGCAATGCCAGAGGAGATGATGGTGGTGTTGTCCACGTGCCACACTCTCCATTCCACAATTCCCATTGAAACAGTGCACAGGATCCAGCCTACCGTACCCAGAGCAAAGGCGGCGAGCTGGAGGTGTGAGGTGCTGACCAGGGACCTCATCCTCTGCAGGTCTCCTACTCTGTCGCAGACATGGTTGCCATGTGAAGAGAGAGAGGCACTGGAAAGAAACACAGCATACAATTATGAAGGCAATTATTATTTGGGTGAATAGATGAACCTGTTTGAAAAAAAAATAAGCAGGAGAGGATATGTGTACAGAGGGAGGATGCTAGTCATCTTTCCCCAGCTGTAATGAATTGTTGACATTTAATGCCCGTAGACAAATAACATTTAGGTTTTAATTCTGTATATGTCACTGTATCACAAGGAGAAGAAAGGGTCTCTGATTAGCTCCCATTACAATCTCCTTTTTGCATTCACAAAAGGAAAATTCACATCTTTTCCCAAGTTATTCTCTTCCTTGATAATTAACCATTATGTTCAAAGATCCTTATACACATTACATATCATCAGGAGCCCTAGGGTTACTGGCTAGTAGAAACCAAACCTGGCAAAACCCTCAGTATCCTGGCTGCTGCAAGAGATCCTAGGAAGCAGCTGGAAAAGCCTGCCTCCTCTCCCCTGGTCGCTGTGTTTTTGGGGCAGCAGCCCAACCTGAACAGACTTCTGCTTTGGTGCTGCCCTTACCAAGAATTGCTGGGACCAGCGTTAAACAGAAAATGCCGTAGTTCAGAGGCATGAGCAAATCCAGGCCACAAAGTCTAATAACGACCACTGAATTTTGACCATTTTCAGATGATTTAACCATGAATGCATTAGCAGAAACACTTGAATTAATCAGAAATGTAATGCTTTGTGCAGGACCTGGAGCCTGGATGTGCTGCCATTGCTTTCCCACCCTCAAACTTTAACCAAGATTTCTTTAGTGCTTTACCTTTGCAAATCACAGTCATTCATAACCTGCCCAACTTCTTCAGTTCACGTCATCCTAACGCTGTGGTGGAAAAGATTTTAGTCATTTAGCCTAGCAAAAGATTTTAGGTTTGTTTGCTGACTGTACATTCTGAATGCGAATTAGAGTTTTGTTCTAATAAAAAAAAACCCAAACTGTTAGTTTCCCACATCTTTTGTACAGTCTTCTGATTATAGGAATGATCTGTGATGAGAGATGTGGCCTGGAATTTATTGTGTAGATCTGAAAGGTTCTAGGGATCTTGATATTTTATGAGTTATCTAAAATACCTTTTCTCTCCTGTTCCCATTGCATTCAAGAGGGAAGAAATACCATACCAAGTTCACTCTAATAATAAGAAGATAGATCTGCGACTATGTTTTGTTACTAAGGCAATAACTTTTCTATTTATCTTAAGCTAACAGATTCAGTTGGTGATACAATCTAGTTGAAAAATCCATGTGTGGAAATCTTAAATAAAAAATATTTTCATAACAGTATGGCCTTAAGCAAACACTGTCCATCTTCTCACACTGGTGCCCACTATACACTTACTTCAGTCCTGACGCTGTTGCCAGTGTAAGAGGATGGGACACAGTGGTTTTTGATGCCGGCCAAACATGGCAACATCTGCAATTTTATCATTTTGGCCTCCCAGTTCAACTATGTATCTCTGATAGGACCTGTTTCATGTGGGACGTATTCATCTCCATTACTGCAAATGTACGTTTAATCCTTTCCTGCATGGAGGAAATTGCTCTGGAATAGCCTCCTGTGTGTTTATCTACTTAAAATGAAACCAATTTATAAATGCTTTCTCAATCTGCTACATTATTTACAAAGTGATTATAAACCCCCCTATCCAATTAACAGTTGTTACCAGCCATACAGCATAGCAGCCCCACAGGAAATGGTGAATGTTTTCTTTCTGTCCTGGTTCTACATCAAAATAGTGTTGTTTTCGTATGAGTCTCGTGATGGGAAGATGCGAGACAGAAAAAAGTACGATCAAAGGAGTCCTGCGCTGACTCCCTTCTGCCTCTGTTTGAATCAGCTGAGCACACAGAGGTCAAATCTGAACCACATTAAAATACCATTTTGTACAGAGCCCGTATTTCTGTCACACTTTTCATATACGTTATAAACATTCATTTAAACAACTTGCTGATACCAAGGTCATAAAAGATGGGCAAGCAGGCCGATCCGTGTCACTGAGAGCTATTCAGAGTACGGTATCAGTGTATATCTTCATGGATTGAATGTACCCACCTGTCTGCTCACAGAATTAAATGAGACTGTATCCGTGATTACTGAGCCCCCTGGCAAACCTTCATGTGCTCAGCTACTTACAACGGTGCCCAGAATTGAATTATAAAACTAAAAATAGGAAAAGTTCTTTTTCCCTCATGAGATTCGTGAAAAACACAGAACAAGCAAACATGCAAGATGAAAGAATTCAAGACTTACAAAAAAACTGTGAAAACACTGGAGAATAACCAGCTAACAAAGATGGGCTTTAGATGAGGTACCAAATGTCTAGACAGAAAAAATTGCTTAGGTAGGAAATGATTCATTTTGGCTCATTTCTCCACACCCTGCCCACTGGAGCTTATGTGATCTAACCTGGTATCACTGACTTAGAGAAAAACCAAGGTGAAAAAGAAGTACGTTTGAGATCAATGATGAAATGGAATGACAGTTCTCACACTTGCCTGTTTTGGAAAAATCAGACAGAAGCCTATGCTTATGGCTTCTTGGTATTAAGATTCAGCAAGAAAATAAGGAACAAAATATCAAGGTGAAATAGTTACAGGAATTTGCTTGCCGTATGAAAACATGTTAAAATTAAAACAGAGATCTAGTTCCCGATGCCAGTATCATCACAAATATTAACAAGCAGACGATAGGTTTTGCTGGTATTGTGAAATGAGAACAGAGACGTATCGCCAGCCAGAAGCGTTGGTTCTAAGGGAAGACTTTGGATAAGAACATGCTTAGTCTCAAGTTTCTGACATAAAGGCTAAGCCT